AGATCGTCTTGTACACAATCTTTCCATCGTCTCTTTGGTCTTCCCTTCTTCTTCTACCTTCCACTATCATATCAGAGATTCTATTTCCCAGATATTGTCCATCTCCTCTTTTAATGTGACCATACCACTGAAGCCTCCGCTCCTGCTCTTTCTTTGAAGCTTCTACCACCTTAGTTGTCCCTCTAATTATTTCATTCCTGATCTTATCAAGTTTTGTTACTCCACACATCCACCTCAACATCTTCATTTCGGCTACGTCCAGCTTCTTCTCCTGTGACTTTTTAATAGGCCACGCTTCCGCACCATAGATCATTGCAGGTCTTACTACCCTTCACTCTTGCGTTGATCTTATCGCATATCACTCCTGACATGTTTTTCCAATTATTCCACCCAGATTTTATCCTATGGTTTATTTCGACATCGAGATTTCCGTCTGATGTTAAATGCGAACTAAGGTATTTAAAGTTATTGACCTTTTTCACCTTTTCGCCCAATAACATAATTTCTCCAATTTCTTCTTCTCCGTTAAAAAACATGTATTCTGTTTTCTTACGGCTGATCTTTAGCCCTCTATCCTCCATTACCATCATCATCATCATTACTATTATTGTTATTATTATTACCATTGTTATTATTACTATTATTATTATTATATTATTATTGTTATTATTATTATTACCTCCGCCAAGGAGGTTATGTTTTTGACGGTGTTGGTTTGTTGGTTAGTTAGTTTGTTAGCAGCCTAGCTCAAAAAGTGCTGGCCGGATTTCATCGAATTTTTGGGGACAAGTCAGAAAGGAACTAACTTAGAACTGATTAAATTTTGGTGACATTCCGAATTACCGTCTGGTTATTATTATTATTATCATTAATTAATCAATAAAGTACACAAATCTACGGTAAACGTGTACCACATTTCACTGACATTCCGAATTACCGTCTGGACGCAGCAGCGGTGTAAGTACATTATATACGCACCTTGGCGGAGGTCTGCACTCTCTGAGTGCTTTTCTAGTTGTTATTATTATTATTATTATCATTATCATTAATATTATCTAATACAATTATTATCATTATTATATGCTATTGTTATCACTATGTTATTATTCTTATTCTTTTTCTTATTCTTATTCTTTTTACTATCATTATGATTTTTATTTGCATTATGATTCATATTATTTGCATTCATATTATCATTACTATAATCATTATAATTATCATTATTATCACTGCAATTGTTGGTGTTGTTGTTATCATTATTATTATTATTATTATTATTATCATTATCATTATAATTATCATTATTATCACTGCAATTGTTGGTGTTGCTGTTGTTGTTATTATTATTATTATTGTCATTATTATTATCATTATTACTATTATTATTATTATTATTATTATCATTATTACTATTATTATTATTTTTACTGTTATTACCATCATCATCATTATTATCATCTTTATTATTATCATTGTCATTATTACCATTACCATTATTATTATTTTTATCATCACATTATTGTTTTTGTTAGTCTTACCTCTATTGTTATCTTTGTTATGATCATCATAATTAGTACCATTACTATTATCATTATTATTATTATCATCATTATTATTATCATTATTATTATTATTATTATTATTATTATTATTATACGATGCGTATCTAGGTGTTCAATGAGATTAATCCCTTTGTTTAATTCATTAATTTATTATTAAAAAAAAAAGAATCTGAAACACTAAGGTTCTATGAGTGAAATGACACAAATACAGAAATGTTTCGAACCTAAACACCTCATGAAAAGGTACGAAACTATATTGTTTTGGAACGGGACGAGAGCCTGTTGAAAAGGGTTTTATGTTCTGTTACGATTGCAGTTATTTAAATAAATGAATAGATAAATGGTATATACGTACACACACACGCACACATACGCACACAGATTACACACACACACACACACACACACATATATACATATATATATATATATATATATATATATATATATATATATATATATATATATATATATATAAATATATATATATACATATATACATATATATATACATATATACATATATATATATATATATATATATATATATATATATATATATATATATATATATATATATAAAATATGTGTGCGTGTGTGTGTGTGTGTGTGTGTGTATGTGTGTGTGTGTGTGTGTGTGTGTGTGTGTGTGTGTGTGTGTGTGTGTGTGTGTGTGTGTGTGTGTGTGTGTGTGGCCCACGGTGTCGAAGAAGAAGGACCATCCTTTTTGCAAGGTAACTATTTTTTTTTTTTTTTTTATTGGAATGCTGTACGTGCTTTGTTATCCTGATGATCCTTAGTTTAATAAGAAAGTACATAAAACTGATCACCTGTCACTGAAATCGCCAGACATGATTTGATAAGTGTTTATTGGAATACATTACAGCGGCAACTCGCGTGCGTCGGGCAGGGGCTCACGACAGCGGCCAGACGTCGGAGTGGATTCTGAGTTCGAGTCTCGTGCGCTCGGCGAAGGCCAGCTGTGGGAAGAGCGTCAGGCCGGTCGCCGTCTCCACGTCGCGGACCTTTGCGCTGAACTCTTGTGCGAAGCGCGTTGCGTTCTGTGCAAATGATGGAGTCGCTCTTTAGTATTTGTGAAAACGAATTCAGGAATTTTACAAGGAATTCCTGTTTATAGAATACCATCTAGGGTCCATAAGTCCATACCGGGCACTGGATTTCCCCCAAGTTTTAGCGGACGCCGCCACGAAGAAGAACAAACTCACCAGGCAGTTAATGGCGCGGAGAGCCTCGGGGACGATGAAGGCAAGGGCGTCCAGTTCCTCGGGCGTGCAGCTTTCCACGGGGACGCCCAGGGACTCGCAGCGGGTGACCACCGCGAACATGTCTGAGGGCGTCTCGGGAGGAGGGCTGCATCCGACAGAAGAAAGTTTATGCTCCAGATAAGCTACGGTAGGCATATATCACGTCATTTCATGGCAATGCATCCTGCAAGAAATGCCTAGGCTCTTATTGGGCGAGAGCGTGGACAAGAAATGGCAGTGGCTGCCCTAGTCACCTGAACATAGTGAAATCGTCGACATGAGAATCCGCGTCGTTGTCGAACACAGGCCCCAGCACCAGGTTGAGCGAGCCGTGGACTGCTAGCCAGGCCGGCACAAGGTCGGTCACCAGCTGAGACCACCTCTCGACCAGCTGGGGCATCGCCGGCACTGCGTTGCTCACCATGTATGGGACGCGGGCGAGCTCAGGGTCCTGAAGGAAGCCTGGGAAAAGAAGGGGTGTGTGAACACGCTTTGGGGCGCTTTGGGAAATGACTCACTAAACTCCCCCCCCCCTCTCTCTCTCTCTCTCTCTCTCTCTCTCTCTCTCTCTCTCTCTCTCTCTCTCTCTATATATATATATATATATATATATTTATTTATATAAATATATATAAATATATATAAATAAATATATATATATGCATATATATACATACATATATATATATATATATATATATATATATATATATATATATATATATATATATACATATATATTTATATAAATATATATAAATATATATATATATACATATATATGCATATATATATATATATATATATATATATATATATATATATATACATATATATCATCATCATCATTGAGGAGCTAACGCCGGTAGGGGCGCATAGCCGCGTCCACCCTTCGCTTCCACCTGCAAGGGTCTCTCATGGCGAGCCGCCAGGCAGGGGCCCGGCCCATCTCTAGTTCCTCACGACAGGTTTGATCGATCTGCTCAAGCCACGACCTTCTCGGTCGTCCCACAGGCCTCCTCCACCCAGGGTTGTCTCGGACAGAGACAACCTGATGGGCAAGGTCATCCTGCGGGAGTCGAGCCAAGTGGCCATATAGCCTGAGTTGGCGATCACGGATTGTGCAAGTAACAGGTCCTGTGCCGGTCTCACAGTGTAGCTGTTGGTTGGACACATGGTCCCGCCAACTGTACCCCATGATCCGGCGCAAGGATCTGTTACAAAAGGCATCGAGATGAGATTCCAGAGCACAAGATAGCATCCAGGTTTCACTACCATATAGTAAAACTGGCAGTATCAGGGCCTTGAAAACTCGTAGCTTAGTCCTTCTGCACAGGTACCGGCATCTTCAAATACTCTTGTCGAGAGATTTCATGACCCCTGCTGCCAGGCCAATCCGTCTACTGACTTCCTGGTCTGACAGCCCAGAGTCATGAACTGCACTACCGAGGTATATAAAACTCCTTGTGACTTCGATGTTTTCACCGCAAGCACGTACCGACTGCACAGGGTCTCCTAGTAGGCCCCCAAAATCCTGGATCTTGGTCTTGGTCCAGGAGACCTCTAGCCCCAGGGGCTTCGCTTCATTGCTAAATGCATCAAGAGCCGCCACTAGGGTTTCCAGAGATTCAGAAAGAATAGCAACATCATCAGCAAAGTCAAGGTCTGTAACCTTAATATTGCCCAGAGTTGCTCCACAGTGACTTTGGACAGTAGCTCTACCCAGTATCCAATCCATGCAAGTGTTGAAAAGTGTTGGTGTAAGAACACAGACTTGCCTCACACCTGAACTAACAGGAAAGAAGCTCGACAGGCCCCCACCACACTTTACAGCATTCTCAGTGCCTGTATACAGGTTTGCTATTAGCCCAACAATCCTAGCAGGAATTGCTCTCAGTCTCAGGATCTCCCAGAGTGATTCGCGATGCACCGTATCAAACACCTTCTTGAGGTCGATGTAGGCTGCGAGCAGCCCACGTCCGAACTCACGACGGCGCTCTACAATGACTCGAAGCGCCAGGATGCGGTCTATTGTGGACTTGCCAGGAGTGAACCCAGATTGCTCCAGTCTTTGGTGCCTCAGGAGGTGGTCTCTGATACGTCTCAGTAAGATGTGGGCGAGTACCTTGCCTGGTACACTGAGCAGTGTAATGCCTCGGTGATTGCTGCAGTCCCATCGATCCCCTTTCCCCTTCCAGAGAGGGATGACCACACCCCTCAGCAGGTCAGGGGGAATGGTACCTCTCTGCCAGATGGCAGACAGGACTGCATGCAAGCCCCTTGCCATAGGTTCTCCACCAGCCTTTAACAATTCAGCTGGGATGCCACAAACACCGTCGTCTGTGAGGAGGGCTTGAAGTTCAGTTTTCTCAGAGCTTGGTAGGCAGGACGAAGGTCATTTACTAGGAAATGGCTTTCGACCTCCTCTGCAAGATTACTGATAAACTGTTCCTTATCCCTTTTCAACAGTGACCTAGTCCTGCGCACCAGAGAGCGGTGCAAAATGCGATCCCCTGACAATCGAGCCGCACGACAAGCTTCTGTGGCTTCCAGTGTCTCCTGTGAGATGGAATTCTGTTTTGCTCTTGGGCGTACACCAATGGATTCCTGAGCTGCTTCAAGTGTTTCACGCTTGAAGGAATCCCACATAACAACAGGGTCTGTCAGGCCCTCGAGTGCTGTGAAACGACCAGAGATAGCCTCAGCAAACCCCCGGGCACACTCATCCTCCCTCAGTCTGTCCAGATGAAACACCCTGGGGTGTTCATTTGGTCGACGGGGGGTTCTAAAGTGGACCCGGAGAGTAGCCACAACTAATCTATGATCAGTTCCACAGAACTCGGCGCTTCGATACACCCTGCAGTTCTGGAGGATCCTCCACCGAGTGCCGACGAGGATGTGGTCGATCTCCTTGGCCACCCTACCTGTATCGCTGTACTAAGTCCAGCGATGCGGATCAGAATGCTGATACCAGGAGCCAGAGATCCTCAATTTCTGGGACTTAGCAAAGTCACGGAAAAGGAGGCTATTCTCGCTGCCAGCATCAGCTCCTGAGCCATGGGGACCGACAGACATCTCGTAGCCAGCTCGATCACAGCCGGATACCACATTGAAGTCGCCCAGAACAATACGAATATCTCGCCGAGGACAACTGTCTGCCACAGATGCAAGTTTGGCGTAAAACATCTCTTTCACCTCAGGTTTATATACATCCGTAGGAGCGTACACAGCAATAAGAGACATGAAGCCAAATGAAAGCTTCAGTCTCAATACCATTATACGCTCATCGACTGGAGTGACCTCTACTACTGAGGGTTGAAGTCGGCTGGAGATGGCTATGGCTACTCCCTGGAGATGGTGGCCATCGCTGCAACCCGACCAGTAGTAAGTGTAGCCACCCACACTAATTGTGCCGCTGCCAGGTCTTCTCACCTCCGAGAGAGCAACCACCTCAACTCTCAGCCGCTTCAATTCCCTCGACAGTAGTGGTAACCGATCAACCTGCTTTCCCCCACAAGCATCACGCCAGGCTGGCGGCCGCCAGGACCCTGATGGGGTAACGGGTAACTCCCGCCCCCCACCCGAGTCCCAGTGGTCGCCAACCCAGAGGAACCCACAGCCCGCCTTACTTGCTGGGTAGGAGGGACTTTTGCCCTCCCCCCAGCACCACCGACTATACACTTGGGTGCCAATAAGGTTTCTCTCGGGGGGCAGACTGGCAAGGCCTGCCTCCCCACAGCCGCCCATTAACCCCAGGGGGCATGGGGGCATATATACATATATATATATATATATATATATATATATATATATATATATATATATATATATATATATTTATCTACATATGTGTGTGTGTGTGTGTATGTGTGTGTGTGCGTGTGTGTGCGCGTGTGTGCACGTGTGTGTGCGTGCGTGTGTGTATGTGTGTGTGTGTGTGTGTGCGTTTGTGTGTCTGTGTTTGTTCAAAAGGCTTGCGGCTGACCCGGGGGCAGTAGCGGCGCCATGGACACGTTGAGCTGTTCGTACTGCGCGCAGGTGGGCGTAGTCTCAGCCGTGAGGCGGACGTCGCTGCACCAACTGGCTGGCTGCGGGTCCGTCGGCGCCCCACTTAGGGTCACGCTCGTCCACAGGGGCATTTTCAGGCTCTCGGAGAAGGCTGCAGGAGGAAGAGGAGGCGAGGGTGAGTGTGGGCGAGAGGCAGGCGAGGCGAGAGCGTTGAATTAGCAACGAATGAGACATTTTCATATTCAGGATTACAATGCCGTTTACGCCAGAATTAAGAAAAAAAAATCATGCACACACGTTCATATACTGTATGTGCGTGTATATGTGTGTGTGTGTGTGTGTGTGTGTGTGTGTGTGTGTGTGTGTATCTGTGTGTGTGTGCGTGTGTGTGTGCGTGTGTGTGCGCGCGCGTGTGTGTGTGTGTGTGTGTGTGTGTGTGTGTGTGTGTGTGTGTGTGTGTGTGCGCGTCTGTGTGACCACGAACACAGTAACGTGTTCACAAGGATGAACAGGAAAACAGCCACAAAAAGAAAAAAAAATAGATTGTGACGTTTCGAACTCGTCAAGAGTTCCTCGTGAGATGGATAAACAACCGAAATGGACCTCCAGTCAAAGCGTTCATATTCAGAGACATTTGGGACACCTGAAACGGAGAGCTGGACCGG